TCCAACAACAAACAGGAAGTGCGTCACGCGTCGGCGGCGCCGCGGCGTCGACTTCCGCCCGGTCCAGGGCCCGCGCATGCGCAGTCGCCGCGGATAGGCCACGGCCGCGCTCCGCTCCCGCCCTCGCCTTCGCGAAGATTCTGGGAGACCCGGGTGGCCCGACGCGGAGGGCGGCGGTTCCGCCCGGGGCCCTTTGTGTCAAGGCGCCCGAACTTCCTCCGCCGCTTCGCGTCTTCTGGGGGCGCCGAGCCCCGCAGTGGCGGGGGCCCCGCAGGGACCCGGCCCGCGCCCTGAGCCACTGTGGACAGACCTCCGGGCCGAAGGAGGGCCGGGCAGAGGGGACTTTCCGCCGCCGGACCTGCTGCCGCGCTGACCTCGCCGTGGGCGCCCCGCCTAGGCCGCGAGGTCGGCGGAGGGAGCGTGGTCCCGCCCCGGGGTCGGGGTAGGAGGTGAGAGTGCGTCCCGCCTGGGGTCTGGGAGGTGAGAGCGCGGTCCCGCCCCAGGGTCAGGGGTCAGGGAGGTGAGAGCGAGGTCCCGCCCCGGGGTCAGGGGTCTGGTTGGTGAGAGCGCAGTCCTGCCCTGGGGTTGGGGGTCAGGGAGGTGAGAGCGCGTCCTGCCCAGGGCCTGGTGGTGTGAGCGCGCCTTGCACTGGGTATTCCCTGTGTCTGGAGCCCTGTTTGTAGTGGATCTTAGATTTTAGCAGGTGATCAGTTAGCAACAGGAAAATATTTTAAATGGACTCGGTTCTCTTATGTTTTAAAATTGGTCATATAAAGGATTAAAAGGAAATAACAGGATTTTGGTTGAGTTGTACATCTCAAAAACCTAAGAGAATGTCGTCCAGGCTGGGCCCTCCTTCAGGGACATCCCAATTTAGCGCCACCCGGTGCAGCCCCTGTGCAGAGTGATGGGGTTCCACTCCCTCCCCAGTGTTGTCTGCCTGTCAACATTTCACCTGTAAGTAAGTGCCTGCTGCTGATCTCCGCAGGCAGACAACACAGACCTGGAAATAGTAACCAGTAGACCAGCCACAAATAGCTTTGCGGATCCCTCTGCAGAAAGTGTCTCTGTTCCTGTCTGTACACACGTGTGTGCATTTACACAGACACGTAATATGCAAGGGGACTTCAGAAGTTCATGGAAAAATGGAATTAAACTACAAGTTTATTTTGGTGTAAAAAAACGTTAGGAGCTAGCCTGTCCAGTGATTAAGGCAGCTGGGTCCACATGGCTGACTCTGTGGCTTGAAAAGCACAGAGGGCATCTGAGCACTATGTCCAAGATCCTGAGAGTGTGGAGGAGGAGGGATGGCACTGTGGCCACCCCTTCTTGGAGGGGGTGAATGTTTCACTTAATCTCTCACTCGCCCCTACCACCACCCCCAGGCACATACATGTGCTCTTTAGCAAAAACTTGAACGTTTAAATCCGGACTTAGTGCTTTTCCATAATGTGTATTTTCCATTAACTATCTTTTTTTTTAAACTACTTAATTTTTTTATTTACTGGGACCAGTAGATCATGTAACATTTATGTTGCTGGACTTCCACATGGTCGGCCGTGTTTGAGTCCTGGACCCAGCTTGAAACACGCCTGGCACGTGTGCATGCATGCCCAAGATCCCGGGAGGAGAATGAAGAAAGAGGGATTGCAGTGTGGCCATCCCGCCTGCAGAGGTGACTTCTTGCTTTTTGTCTCTCTCTGGCCAGTGTACACGCTATAGGAAAAAATATCTCTCTATTAAAAAAAAGTACTATTTTTTTTTCATTGCTATAGGGCACGTGCACTCACCAGAGAGACAGAAGTAAAGAGAGAGCGAGCCACCAGGTCTGACCCAGAGATTTGACCATGTGGGAGTCCCAGCACCTTAACCCCCATGCCACCACTGGTCCTCCATCAACTTTAAGGATCTCGTATATAGTAACTGTTAGGACAGAAAATAACTAGTACAAAAAAGGATCCCAGCCCTGGTAGAATTCACATGGTAGGAGAAAAGAGTAAGCCCCTTGAAAAGTAAATAACATGGCAATATTTAGTAACTTCTTGTGAAAAAAGAGAGAGGGTCTTTCTTTTCTCTCCTTTTTTCAATTTTGCCAGAGGCTCCATGTGCTGATGTGAAAGACAAAAAAGCACCCCCGTGGGGAGCAGTCAGGCCACAATCCCTTCTCCTCCAACTCTGCTCCTCTAGAGATTTGGGGCAGCACACACAAGCACCCAGTGTGTTTGTCAAACTGCAGGGTCTGGGACTTAAACCATATAGTCAGCCCTGTGGAATCCAGCCATTTACCACGCCACCAGCTGGCTCCGGACAAGATCTTCCAACCAACATTAATGACTTGAAGAAGAAGAAGAATTTCATTTAATTCTAGTTTGACCAGAGAAGGACAGGGAGAAAGGGAAAATGAGAAAGGAAGCTGCCAGGTCTGGGGCTGGGGCTGGTAGTCGGCCACGGAGGGGTTCAGTGCTCTTAACCAGCATGTCACCCGCCAGCCCCAAGCATTTGTTCTCAAGTTAATGTCCCAGTGGCAGTGCCACTGGAAACTCAAGTGCAAAGGAAGGAAGTGACCGCAACGCGGACCAGAAGGGACTTGGACTGGAATAAGCAGCTCGAGGACGGGAGCAGGGGACTAAGCGTAGAGCGTGAGAAGCTGGGCCAGTGAGCACGTCGTCGGTGAAGAGGCAAGCGGCGGGGTCTCACCACAGCAAAGAGTACCGGCAGGGAAGCCAGCTGGGTCCAACAGGTGGTGTGGTGGTTAAGGCGGCGGATTCCTACATGGTTAACCATGGTTCGAGTCCCAGACCTGGCGGCTTGCTTTCTCACTTTCTGTCTGTCTGTCTCTGTCATACTAAAAAATAATCATAAATAGATAAAATAACAAAATTTAGAAAGACAAGCTGAACGTTCGCCAGCCGGTGGCGTGGTCGTGAAGGCTGCTGTACCCCACCTGGCCGGCAGCCAAGGTCACAGATAATCAGTACTCCTTGCCATGGCTTTGAGTTTCCCACCCGACAGCTTGAGTAACACACCAGGCGTGTTAGTGTGTGTCCAAAATCTGGAGGGGAGAATGGAGAAGGAGGAGTTGTGTGTGGCCGTACCTTCTGGGGGTGGTTCCTTTTCATTTTCTGGCTGTTTTTCACGAGTTAGCACACGTGCCTTGTGGCACAACTACAAAAAAAAGGAAAGGAAAGCACGCGGTTTACTGCGGAAGATGAAGCCACGGACTCACCCAGCACCCAGGGGGGCCCTTCCTGCCGCCTCCCACCCTGGTTCCTCAAATCCCTGAGCTTCAGCCTTCTTTGACTTGGTAACAGTGGTTTTGTTTGTTTGTTTGTTTTGCTTGTTCCTCATTCTTGTATTTTGCAGGTCTCATACCACAGGGATTTTTTTGCGTAGTGCAGATGTCCAGAGTCATCCTGACAGTCTCTTTGTGCCCCAGGCTAGTTCCCTGTCCTCTGCCTAATCTGGCTTATCCCCCTGACAAGTCTGACAGACTGGAACAAGGCTCGTGGACAGTCATGATGGGGGGGCAGGGGTGGGAAGGTCGGCACCTGTATTTTATGTCCTTGGCAACAGAAAGCCATTACACTGTTTTTGGGTTTTGTCTGTTGTGAGCAAAGGACACCAGTGATGAACGCGTGTTTGCAGGAAGGCTGGAGGAGCTGAAAGACCAGTCATTCTGTAAGTGGGCATAGTCTTGAGAAGGCCCAGATCTGTGCTAGTCCATACTGGGCTCCTGGTAGTACTGACAGATGAGAGCTGCTCCGTGTCAGCGACCTCTCTGAAAGCTGGTAAGAGGTGTGTACCTCGGGGCCGTCAGGCAGCATGGTGTTTAAGGGCTCTAGACTTTCACCTGGCCGACAGGTTCGGGTCCCAGACCTGGCAGCTTGTTTTGTCACTTTCTCTCACTCACTCTGTCCCTCTCTGGTCAAATTAAAATAAGTAAATAAATTAATAAAGCTAAATAGTCCTTTTTTTAAAAAAAGATAAAGACCTCTCAGGAAAAATGTGCATGTGATACAAGGCACGATACGAGAGAGTTTAGACACAGACACACACAGACAAGCCCATACGTAAGTCCAGGGTCTTCAGATAAAGGTTCCAAGCGCAATTTTTATTAAACTGAAATTTACCTTTGATCCAGCAATAACACTTGTAGGACTTTTCCCTAAGCTCATAAATGCAGAACTGGGGAAAGGGAGGGCTGAGATACAAAATGTTACAGATCAAAGTTTATAGATAATCAGTACCTTCTCATCAAGAAACACCATGTACCCCATAAACCACCGTGGAAGTATATTGATATCAAAGCTCAAGATACATTACTGAAATAGTATATGTACATGTAATATGCATATTTTCTAAAATCAAATTTATTAATGTGTGTGTCTCTGTGTATACACACTTGCATATACCCCAAAAACTGGAAGACTATTTACTAAATCGTTAAAATTTCTTTAGA